GGAAAGAATGTTTCTGACATCAAGTCCACATAATAGTTAACTCCTTCATTATGAGCTAAGCCGGTGTGTGAGCAGTATGAGGTGTGATTTGAGAATTTTTACAATTAATCCTGAGTATCTGCCAAAGACTTATTTGCGCAATAATACCCTTGGCCAGATGTCTTCTTCAGACTGTCCGCCCTTTTCTTTGGAGTGTGCTGGTGCCACAAGGTTCTGACATCAAGTCCACATAATAGTTAACTCCTTCATTATGAGCTAAGCCGGTGTGTGAGCAGTATGAGGTGTGATTTGAGAATTTTTACAATTAATCCTGAGTATCTGCCAAAGACTTATTTGCGCAATAATACCCTTGGCCAGATGTCTTCTTCAGACTGTCCGCCCTTTTCTTTGGAGTGTGCTGGTGCCACAAGGCCACAGACCCAGAACTTGATACTCTTGCAGATGAAAAACTGTGCTTGCTTCAGTTATATGCTATTACTGATGTGGTCCCTCAGCAATGTTTACTGACTCTGGAAATGTTCGCAGCCTTCTAAAAATTGTGTGTGCGTGTTGGGACTTAACTTCCAGAGATCCTGTCTCAGTTTAATGTGCTCCCACCTCTGCTTTCATGGTGCTATAGAGCAGCAAAACCTATTATAGCTTTGGGCTGTGGGTTCTCTGGGAGACAGCACAGGTAGAGTGTAGTCTACAGATAGAGCAGGTGCTTCTAGGGCCTCCTTATTTATAACAAAAGCTGGGAAATCCTGTATGCCCAGCTCTAACGCTGTTGCCTTTCAGGAGCTTCCAAGCAACACCCTCAGGTAAACCAAGATGTTTCACACCTCTTCTGGCTTACTCTGGGTTTTTTTTTCAGTTTTGAGGAAGGAGAGGGGAGAAGGGAGGGAGTAGGCTATGTTTGTATTTCATTTTTGAGTTGGAATTGGTGTGAGTTGGAATATGTCCATATCTTTCTCTGCACTGGGCAACCCATAACTGGACCCAGGATTGAACAAAGGCAAAGAAACAACCTTGCAAAGTCTTCTGGTAATGTTTTTCATAATGCAGCTCCAAATGCTGTTGGTTGTCTTTGTGGCAAGGGCACATTGTTTGTGGATTATCAAGTCAGGTTCCACCAGGGTGCTCAGAGCCATCTCAGAAAAGATGGTCAGCCCCCGACATGTGTAGCTATTTGTTCCAAGGTGCAGGACTTGCCTCTTGCCCTTGGTTAACTCTGTAGGTTCGCTGGTGGGGCATTTCTCCAGTCTGTCAGGATGCCTTTGAGTGTCAGCAGACCTACCTACAATATCAGCCCCTCCTCCCAGTACTGTATTGTATGCAGACCTGCTGAGGGGACGTCTGGCCCATTGCTGAGGTCATTAATGAAGACGTTAAACAATATTGTCCCCAGTGTGAAGTTCTGGGGTTGACAGCTAGTGATTGGCCTCCAGGCAGACTTCATGATGCTGATGGCAACCCTCTGAGTCCATCATTTAAGTAGTTTTCAGTCCACCTGACTGTCCACTCTTCCAGCCTGGACTGCATCAGGTTGCCTACAGGGATGTTATGGGAGGTGGTGTTAAAAGCCTTGTTAAAACAGAGATTAACAATGAATGCCTGCATATATGCTTTCACTGAGCTAGTCATCTCATCAGGAAAGTCTGTCAGGTTAATTAAGTGTTCTCCTTTATAAAGCCATCAGAACCATATTGTTAAAGCTGCCTGCCTCCCCCTTCAGTAAGGCTGAAGTACAGCAGCTCGATATCAAAGCCAAAACTTGAGAATTTAACAGATGAATTGCTTCCTGGTTTCCCTACCAAATAATGGCCTCGCATTGGTTATATTTGGTTGATTCTTGAAGCAAGTAGAAGAGACAAGGTTCTATAGCTGTACTCTTAGGCTATGACTGATTGTTTGGCTATAGTAATTTATTTTAGGAGCTCCTAACATACAAGGCAAAGTACGTGCTCTCTTGCTCCTCCCTTCACTGGGCCTGTGCACACCTGTTCCTGTGTCAGTATAGAATCATCAAGGTTGAAGGAGACATGCAAGATCATCCAGTTAAGCCATCAATTTAGTATTCCCACTGTAACCCCTAAACCACATCATCCAGCACCAGATCTAGACACTTCTTAAACACCTTCAGGGATGGTGACTCCACCACCTCCCTGGGCAATCTATTCCTATGCCTGACCACTCTAACAGTGAAATTTTTTTTCTAATTTCTAATCTGAATCTCCCCTGTCTCATCTTAAGGCCTCTTACTGCAGGCATGGCAGAAGGGACCATCACCCACTGCTCTACAACCCACTTGCAGGTAGTTATAGAGAGCAGTGAGGTCACACCTAAGGTACCCCTTCTCAAGACTGAACAAATTCAACTCCCTCAGCTATTCCTCATAAGGCGTGTTTTCTAGACACTTCACAGGCCTTGTTGCCCTTCGCTGGACTTGCTCCATCTCCTCAATGTCCTTTTTAAATTTAGGGGCCCAAAACTGAACACAGTACTCAAAGTGTGGCCTCACCAGTGCTGAGTACAGGGGGATGATCGCATCCCTAGTTCTGCTGGCCACACTATTCTTGATAAAGGCCGAGATTCCATTGGCCTTCTTGCCCACCTGGGCACACTGTTTGTTCATATTGAGCCACTGTCATCAGCATCCCGAAGTCACTGTCTGCTGAACAACTCTTGAGCAAAGTCTCTCCCAGCCTGTAATACTCCATGGGTTTGTGTCCCAAGCGCAGGACCCATCACTTCACCGTATTGAACCTCATGCAGTTGTCCTTAGCCCATCGATTGAGTCTATCCAGGTCTCTCTGTATAGCTCTCCTACCCTCAGGCAGATCAACGCTTCCACCCAGCATAGTTTTGCCTGCAAATTTACTGAAGGTACACTCAATCTTCACGTCCAGATCATCAATAAAGATGTTAAACAGGACTGGCCCCAGTACAGAGCACTGGGGAACACCATTAGTGTCTGGCCACCAACTGGATTTAGCTCCATTCACCACAACTCTCTGGGCCTGGCCATCCAGACAGTTTTCAGGATGTCTGTCTGTTTCCAGACAGACATCAAAGAGTCCACCCATCAAGTCATGAGCAATCAGTTTTTCTAGGAGGATGGTGTGGGAGACTGTGTCAAACATGTTACTAAAGCCTAGATAGCTGGCATCTACAGCCTTTCCCTCATCTACTAAGTGGGTCACTTTGTCATAGAAGGGGAACAGGTTGGTCAAGCAGGACCTTCCTTTTGTAAATCCATGTTGACTGAACTTGATCTTCTGGTTGTCCTGCATGTGCTCTATAATGGCACTCAGGATGATCTCTTCCATAATCTTGCCTGGAGCCGAGGTTAGGCTAACAGGTCTGTAGTTCTCCAGATCATCCTTCCAACTCTTCTTGTAGATAGGCATTATGTTTGCTAATTCCCAGTCAGCTGGAACTTCTCCAGTCAACCAGGACTGCTGGTAGATGATTGAGAGTGGTTTTGTAAGTTCTTTTGCCAGTTCCCTCATTACCTTGGGAGGGACCCCATCAGGGCCTGTTGTGTAAGGCAGTTGTCTTCCGCACACTCCAGGAACCTCCTAGAGTGATTCTTCTCTGCTGTGTTGTGTTTCCAGCAGACATCTGGAAAGCTGAAGTTGCCCATGAACAGAAGGGCCAGCAACCGTGAGACATCTGGCAGCTGCTTGTAGAGCGCCTCAACTACCTATGGTGAATAGTGTGAACTAAATCGTTGAATAGATGTGGCTGGAAAAATAACCCCAGGTGGCCTGGAAAACTCTTGGCTTTCAGTTGGGTCACTTCCCACTCTTATTCAATGTAAAGATTCATAGGCAAATGGGCTGATTTAGTAACAGGAATTCAGGAAGGGAAGAGTGTACAAGTCAGCACTGCTGTTGTTGAAATTATTGTAGACACAGAATGTGGAATTATCTGCATTTTTTGAAGTGCTGCAGACATAAACAGTTTTTTTCTTTCTGCCATTGTCAAGCATTCTACTTGCCTTTTGAATCTGATTGAGAAAGAAGCAGTGATTCACAAACTTGTACTTTGAGGGTCATTAAAAAGCCTGTGCAACAGTCCAGAGTGCCATGCCATAGCAGGCTAGGAGGATGTGTGGTTGAGGTAGTCACAGTTCTGCCTTCTCCCTTTCATTGGTGTAGCTACTACTGCTGTGTTTAGGGAGGAGGTGAAAGAACAGAACCCTGGCAGCCCTGGCACAAGTTGGCTTGTGCTGCTGTGGAGCTATATCCTGACTTGAACAGTTGACCAGTTTTTAGTCTAACAGGAGAATATGATATATGTCACCATGATGACATATATTTCATTTGCTTTATAGGGTTTAAAGGTTAGCAGCATTTGAAATGTACAGTTTTTGGACTTGAGTGATAGGATGTAGTTGAGTTCTTGAGTCTCATGGTTCAAGTCAGAAAGATCAGTGAATGATGCAACTAAATCTTTATATATCCTGTGGTTTGTAACATGTCTATGACTTCCTATTTGGCAAGCACGCTTGCATTTTATTTGTCTGAAGGTTTTATCATCTTTGTTGCTTCTCCTTCACAAGAGAACAGGGTGGTAGAGATGTCTATTTCCCTAGTGTTTTGATCAGGATTGAGATAATGTGTTTTCCTTATAGCATGAATTAGAAGTTGCTGATAAGCTGAGTTGCATAAAGTGCTTATTCCTCTTCCCAAAATGCATTGCTTGTCTGCAAGGTTGATTGTTATTCTATTTTTAGTATGAGTTTAATTTGCATATTTATGTCTTAATAGCATGTTTTTTACTAATAAGAAATTAGAACCTTACTTTCATCATGTGTACCCTTGTTAGTTTGAGTTAAAGCTACTCAGGCTTTTTCTAGTCAGCCTTCTATTTTGTCTCTTAAGATAAACTAGTGAACAAGCTGCCCTCTCTTTTATTCCCCTGTACTGACCTTTGGCAGGTTTCTCCATAGGAAAATGTAAGCATAGAAAATCAATCTACCTATAGTGTGTTGAATTTGGCTACTAAGGAAGCATTCAGCAGTGCTGAAATAAGGAAAATATTCCTTGTTATTTTCAGACAGACTCTGTGAAACCTGCTGCAAAGAGGAAAAAATACTTTGATGGAAAAAAGAGCAAAATAAAATCAGAGTTGATGAAGTGGAAAAGAACATGCAATCTAAATCTGACTGAAAGTCAGATTTTCTTTTTAATTACTTGGTATTCAGTTAGCTTTATTGGGCTGTTAATGTTGGTCAGAGCTGATACCTGAAAGGTGTCAGAGCTGCTACATGGCAGTGTCAGTTTGAAGAGATGTGACAGTAAGCATCCGCATGCGAAGATGATAATATTTTCTTTCAGAAATGTACCTAACCATCCCCAGATGCGCTTCCCGCCAAAGCTAGCATACCTTGTGACTTCTGTGTATTCAGTTGCACATAGTGAAGTGAAAGTCAACAATTAAAAAAACCTTTATCCACTTAAAATATTTATCATGCACGTTTATAATTCCTTTTACTCTACTTGTATTTGCCATAGTGAGGTAAGGTCAAAGCAGTGGAAGGAAATATCTTCAACCTTCATTCTGTTACCAGACGTGTGAGTGTAGACCACAAGCTGTTACTGAAAGAAGATACAGCCGAAGTGCTCAGCTTTTACTTCCCCTCTCACCAGGTTTTCTCTCAGGAAGTTATTGGTTCTTCACTTTCAATTTTGTGATTTGGGCAAAACCCATTCATTGCAGCTGCGATAACAATAGCATGTTTGGCTTGTGTTTCTGAGTATAATATCAAAATCATTTAGAACTTTGGTAAATGACTGGACTCTGTTGAGCAACTACCATCCCCTTTCACAATATATGCTAATTACGTATGCTTTTAGCGGTCTAACTGTAGGAACCTTTCCTGAAAAATCTTGAAACTAGATGATTTATGTTGACCTGGCTTTACTTGCTATGAATCCTTTTCTTGTTTCTTCAGCAAATGCTATGAAACGTTGGAGTAGGGTTTTTTGCAGCAAACTTAGATGGTTCAAAAGATGTCCAAACAGAAATCACAGAGGACTCTTGCCAGAAAACCTGTGCACAAGTTATACGTAAACCCATGTATACATATAAATTAGTTCAGTGTGTGTTGATCATAAAAGATGACGCTTGCATCATCTTCACAGATTGCTGCAAGGTTCTATTCACTGCTTCTGCTGTCTCCTTATGTAGAGTAAGAACAATAGTGAGGAGAAATATCAAGTATACATTTTCGCTCCCATAGTATTCTAGATCTTATTCCTCTCACTTTCCTCTACTGGCTTGCAGAGAGCAGTGCATCTCTTGGGAGTCTTAAGTTATATGAAGTACGTGACATGCTCCTGCATGGAGGACCAGTGGGACAATTTTTCTGCCCCATGAATTTGCCTCTGTGACTTTCCAAGCACAACAGCTGAAAGAGCTGTTGGTCAAACCCCTGATAAAGCATAAACCAGAGAATAAGAAAGTAAACCTATTTGACGTACTATAGTTTTTATTAAATCAGAGGTAAAACTGGAGTTTCATAACTGCGATTGGATTTAATGCATACAACAGGCCAGGTTCACTGTTAGTTTTCTGAAGTTTGTGATCTTCTGTCATGACATTTTGAGTTGTGGAAGACAGAGGATGGAGCCCTTGGCTTATGCTCTACATGATGTTCTTAATAGGAGGTAAATTTAACAAAGTCAGTGGTTCTATATCATTTGTGATACTGGGAATACTTGCAGTAGGCAAGGGTTGGCAATTCTTGGACTACAGTTGGCTTTCTGAATCTGCATAGCTAGCTGTGGTAGGGGTTGTGTGCTTTACCCCATTACACTTTACAGTGCTAATTCATACTACTGAAGCTTTAAACACATAACATTGGCAGCACGCTCAGTGAAATGCCCTTGATTCTGGAATCAGTGTTACCTATTTAAGATGCAAGGGAAGAAACAAACTATCTGTAATCTTCTCGGCCATGATGCAGATTTTGTCTTGTATCTCGTGTATGTGTTGATACATGGTGCTGCAGTTGAATAAGGGAATCATATTGTGCTACTGAGTTTGTGTTTTAAACTACTTAAGTATATTTCCAGTCATTTTGGAGAGGTAATGTGTTCTGTGTCTAAAACAAATGAAATTCATATACAGTTATTTCAAAGGACAGAATAGTACTAATTCTGTAGTGCAAAAATCTTTTCTGTTGTGCTAGAAAATGAAATACTGTAGTATAAGCAAAATGTGCTGTTTTAAAATGTATAAATAATAAAACCATAGTTTAAAAGCCTTATACCCTTTTCCATTATGCAATGTGCAGTGCAGTTTTTATATAATTAACAGCATAACTCGCATATGGTGGAACACAATAATTACACTTTTAAATATGCATGCTTGAATAGAAAACCTCATTAATAAAACTGCTTTTCTAAAAATACTAAAATATTTTACCATACCTCTTGGAAAGTTCATAACAGATATCAGCACAGTGATTAATTAGGTGCTACATTAATTAATACAATTTATTAATTGATTAATTCAGTAGCTAAGGCTCTCTCAAATATGTTTAGCACAAATTACTGTTCTAAAATGTTTTGTTTGTTTGTTTGTTTTCCCAGCTCTGAACATAAATCTGAACTCTCCTTCTTGGCTGCACTCTCCCTACTTATGATCTTCTTTCTGGTTCAAAGAAGATGCTCCCTGGTTTCAAAAATTGCTATGGCACTTGGACTCCTGGGAGTCTACAGTTACCGGGCAGCTATTGGAAACGTCATATTTCCATGGCAACATGGTGGCAAAGATATTTCAAAGTAAGTTAATCTACAGATATGTAACTCTCTTTCTAGAGAGGTGTTAACACTTTGGGTATCAGGGGATGAGGTGGGAGGGGACATTATGTCTAGGTTGTAGATGACCAGCGTTCAGTTTTTGTGGCATGTGCTTAATTTGGAGCCCCAAGAAGTGTCTTTTGACTGTGACAGATCAGAAGCCAGTCAGATAATAATTAGTAAGAGGAAAATCTAGTAATTATACAGTATATTTTTGCTACAGATGATCTCCAAATGCATCGTTTCCTCTTGTTTTGGATAGACTTGCCACATGTAGCAGAGTACGTGCCAAGCTCATGTAGCTACTTGGTCCGAAAAATGCTTAGGCAGTAGTTCAGAGAGCTGCTTTTGCAGAGACCTTGCTTTTGCAGTTGAGTGTTCTGAGAGGTTGCAGACTTTTAGCAAGTAACCATGTGTTCAAATCCAGGTTGGATGAGGCCTCGAGCAACCTGGTGTAGTGGGGAGGTGTCCCTTCCCATGGCAGAGTGTGTTGGGACTAGATGGTCTATAAGGTCCTTCCCAATCCCTAAAATTCTATGATGATTCTTGAAATCTCATCTGTGCAGCATAATGCATTTTAAGAATTTTTAGGCTGATACTAAGTTTCTTATAGAACTAGTCTGTAACTGTAAGGAAACTGTTAGCTCTTTCACCAATGACTACTTTTGGACTGTAGCTAAGTGGCTTTAGTTATCTTGTGATACCTTTTACTGTTGGATTGTACCTGGCTTTGCAGCCTCAAGTTTTGCTAAATATCAAACAACTGTGGAAAACTTCGACAGTCATTCAGAACATTTGATGAGGAGGAAGATACTGTGTAAGAGAAGCTGTTGAAACAATTGTCTTCTGGGTGTAATAAACTTTCTCTTGCACTCATTTTGAGTTTTATATGGGCACAAGTGGTTTATGTTGGAGGTTCTTAGTCAGGGGCCAGAGATTGACAAGATGTGCAAAGATGGAAAAAGCCCTGCAGGGTAAGATCTTAGGACATACTAAAGATCAGGTTTGTTAATGTGGTATGTTTTATAGCAAATACTTGTATGTATGTATATCTAGATGTATTTACTTGCATTCCATCTCTCAAAATATTGAAGATAATTCTAGTTGTATACTAGTGTTAAGTTAACACTGTGTTGATTCTGCTACTTGGGAAAGTAATGGTAATCTTTATTTAGTCTGCAGGATTTGGCTCTGTTTGAAACAGGCCTGACTTTTTGAGTGTGATCTCTAGTTTTGCTTCGTGTTTGAGCAAAATCCCTGGACAATAATGGTGTCCTTGCAATAAGAATTAAAATACTGCAATGTAGGATACAACATCAAATGCAGCAATTGAGCCACAAATAAAATGTGATTAGAGAAGTGAGTGGAGTACACATACCAAAGTCAAAGCATTTACTTGAAACTTGTCCATTTTGTAGTCAGCATATTGAGCTCAATTATTGCAAGAGACAGGCTTTTTGTATTATTTCACCTTAAGTAAACCGTGAACATGGTTATTTGGTTAAATTATGTCAGAGCTTTATATGTCTCTGATTATAGTCTGGTTTAAAAATTATTGTAAAGTTTCAAAATTTTGTACCCTTTACATCCTCTGTGTAAGCTATTTTGTGAAAGCTGGTAGAGTTAGTAAATGCAGGTTCTGACCTTTGTGTTCTGCACCTGGGGCAGGCAGTGTAATATAGTGGTCTTTTAGTATCTCAGTAAGAAAGGATCAACAGCAAATGTGTAACGAGATAGTTGTTTTAGTAAGATAGAGTAGAAAAGAAATATAGAGAGTGCCTTCGGGTGCTGGGAACCCTTCTTACATGCAGCATCAGACAAACCCCAGATGAATCTTCCCATGGCACACTGTGGCATATGGGTCCCATCTGTGGAGAGGTTCTGTCTCCCTCCAATACCATGCTGCCTTTCATTTTGTAAAGTTTTTGGGCAAAAAAACCCACAGCAAACCACCAAACAAACCAAAACAAACCCATGTGTCTCATCCTGCCAGGTGAGAACATTCTCTCTGTCATAATACCTACCAGTGTACAACACAGGCTAGCATAGGGATTCCAGCATGTCCCTTTGCAGCAGCTAGTCATGCTAATGTGTGGCCTTCTCAGGTGTAAAATACAAGGCCTAACAGAGCAGTCATGGTTTGCACAAGATCACTAACTCATCAAACATTATCTTAAGCAAGACTCCCAATGCAGCCTGTCAAAAAGAATGGCAGACACATCTCAGTGGATTTCAGATGATAGATGATGTGTTGACCAAGTGATGCTAGCTCATCTTTATTAGATGGCAAATATGATATAGTTGGTAAAAGCCTATTTAAAATGCCACCAGGAGCAAAACCAGGACTTTCTTTTAAATGTGTCTAGAGTTATCTTCAGTATATTCATGATCTGGTATAGGTCCAGGTGCAAGATAGAGGTAGTTTTGTGAGAAAAAGCTGTAGGTAGTCACTGCATTTTTCATGAGTGATGCATTCTTTGTAATATGGAGAATCTTTGCTCTCAAATGCTCCCTGTCTGTACCCTTTCTTGAAGATTTTCTCCGAATGTGACGTCTGCATGGAGGTGAATGAGGAGGAAGAGGCAGTTTGTGAGCTCCATATTTTCTGTGGCTTGCACTAAGATAACATCTAAATTAAAACATGCAAGGAAGTGATTTGGCCTTCTGTTTTCCTCAGGCTTATTTTTTTAAATGATAGTTTGTGCAATGAAGAAGATGAGTATGTACTGTATTAGCGCAAACAAAATGATAGTAGTGAATTTGCTGAGAGTTTTTTCAGTGTGAAACCAGTGCATCAGCTGGTTAATTTTAGTTTTTACTTAGTTCATTGAATAATGACAGATACCCGAAACTATTCCTAAAGTTTTACTTCTAAGTCATATGAATATATTTGAATATTTTGTGGTAATAATTACATCAGTATTTCCAGAGATACTGAAAAAGGGCACCACATTTCTGCATTAGCCAGAAACACAGGAACTCGCTAAGTCTTGCTGGTTTTTACTTTTTTCCCCCTAAGGAAAAAGCCAATGAGCCTTACAGGGGTTTTACAAAGGCTTGCTATTTAAGGGAAGGAAAGAGTAAAGCCCCTTTACGTAGGCCATTAGGTATAAGTTTGGCTCTTTGAGAGCTAAACCCCAGAACAGTGCACTGCATTCAGATTTAGGAAGGCCACATTGCTGTCATTTGGTGGGTTTGCCGTTTTTCTTAGTTCTGTGGGTATGAAAAGAAAATTGAACACGTAAATGTTCGTGTTTATTATTTCTCCTCTTGCTTTTTCTTTCCTGCATGTGAAAAGAAAGATTTAATTCGAGCTTATTTGTTATTAATTGGTTGAGAAGGAAGGTGACCCTCTCAAGACTGAAA